TGTGCCCCTGCCCTCAGCACCATCCTGGTGGAACCAGGGTGTCAGGCAGAGGTGACGGAGACCGGGGACATCCGCATCTCTGTGGGGGCTGAGGCCCCGAGCACCGTGGGGGCCCAGCTTGACCCCATCCACCTGTCCATCTTCTCGCACCGCTTCATGAGCATTGCTGGTGAGTGCCCCCCGCAGTGGCCCTGCTCCCTGTGGAGCATATGGGAGTGTGCACACTGTGCAGAGGTGGGCACAGGCTGTGTGGCTGCAGGGGTGTGCAGAGGGAGGACAGCATGCCCTGGGGGAGGGAGCTGTAGTGGCACCCCTGCTGGCGACAGAATGGGCAGTGTGGCCCCGGCACTGGGATGGCCAGCCCCACCGTGCCAGCATTAGTGGCCGTGGGATCCGAGATTACTGTCCTGTCGGACGGGGAGCAGGCTCAGCACAGTGGACCCATCTGTGCAGGGTCAGGTTGGGGGCTTGCTGGGGGCCCTAAGTCCTGCGTCGGGCAAGGAAGAGGGTTGGCATGGGATTCCGGGTTCTTGTGGAAGCTCCAGGCAGGGATGGGGGGTGCCCCTCACACAGGCAAGACATGGCCTGGCGGTGGCCTTGCTGCGTGCAGGTGGGCCACCACCACCTTTGGGTCCCAGGTCTGGGGTCCAGAGGCCTCAAGGGTGGAGGTCCCGCCTCTGCATGTTCTGGGGCTGCGCTGTGGGTGGGGTGGGGCCAGTGGGCTCCTGGTCACTCTGTGCCCCCAGAGCAGATGGGCCGCATCCTGCAGCGCACAGCCATCTCCACCAACATCAAGGAGCGTCTGGACTTCTCCTGTGCCCTCTTCGGGCCTGATGGGGGGCTGGTATCCAACGCCCCCCACATCCCCGTGCACCTGGGAGCCATGCAGGAGACCGTGCAGTTCCAGGTTCGGTGGGTCCCTTCTGCTTCCCTTACCCCACCCCTCACCTCCACCGCTTCCAACTCCAGACTGTCTCCTGGTTTCAGATCCAGCACTTGGGTGCCAACCTCCACCCCGGTGACGTGCTGCTGAGCAACCACCCCAGCGCTGGGGGCAGCCACCTGCCAGACCTGACCGTCATCACACCGGTGAGGACCTCGGCCTGGGTGTCTTTGGGGGGCAAGGGTGGCTGACACAGCTGACCATTGCTCTCCACCCCCAGGTGTTCTGGCCAGGTCAGACTCGGCCTGTGTTCTACGTGGCTAGCCGTGGGCATCATGCGGACATTGGGGGCATCACACCAGGCTCCATGCCCCCCCACTCCACCACACTGCAGCAGGAGGGTGCTGTCTTTCTGTCTTTCAAACTCGTCCAGGGGGGTGTCTTCCAGGAGGATGGTGAGTGGGAGTGGCGTTGGGGCCATGGCGAGGCACGGGGGGAGGGTTCAGTGGGCTGGCACACGTGATCGCTCCTTCCGGCCAGGGCCGGGGTACGTGGGAGGGCACTGGGACGTGGCCTGCTGGCCCAGGCCTGCCTGGGGGAGCAAGGCAGTAACCCCACAGTGGTTGCAGATCATCTCTCAGAGGTGACCAGGCAGCTGAGCCGGGCTCTGCCTGGATCCAGGAAGGCCTCAGTGGTTTTGGGGATAGGGAGCTGGCCAGGACCCATGGAATCAGGCAGAGGAGGGAGGGGAGCCTATTTCAAGGTAGGCAGCTGCTCATGGTAGTCACAGTCACAGTCTGCACTGTGTTTGCACGGGGTCCAGAGGCTGCGGAGAAGCAGTGAGGACAGAGCCAGCGACTGCAGGCTCTTGGAAAACTTTCTTGGGCCTAGGTATGAGTCATTGGGTAGCAGGGTGGCCATGAATGGCTTCAGTGGGGCTTGCACTGGAGAGCGCCCAGCTACATGCAGAGTGATGGGGGGGTGGAGGGTCGCCCAGAGGCCAGGCTGAGTGGGGTGGGGGGCAGCTGTGGTTGCCCTGGACGGTGCTGGCCCTCAAGCTGGGCAGCAGAAAGGGGGGTAGGGACCACTGTTCTGGAGATAATCAAGGTTGGCATTTGGTTGGATTTGGGGATGAGGATGAGGAGTCAGGTTTGGACAGCTGGAGGATGGAGGGAGGCTGTGGCACTGAGCAGGCACAGAGCTGCTGCAGGGACGTTAGGATAGAAGTTGTAGTGTGGCCCAGGAGACAAGGGCCATGGAAAATTCAGAGTCGGTGTGAGGCCTCAGGGGTCTGGGAGCCCAGGGGGACATCCCAGAATGAGGGTCAGTGGGGTAGGCAGGGGGCAGGGTGCAGGGTGGGCTCTCAGAGCTGCAGGCTGCTGTGGGTGCAGGAGACACAACTGAGTAGGCCTGGCTGCTCCCTTGGTCAAGGTGGGGGGAGCAGGGGGCAGCGGGCAGGGATCACAGAGAGACACGTGCAGGCATGTGACAGGACACAGTGGCCAGGGAGCCTGAGAGAGTACTGTGACCCAGACTCTTGGCTCCTGGGGCTCGCCCTGGGGCGGGTAGGGGCCTCCTTCAGCTTGGTGCGGAGGTGGGGCACAAGCCAGAGCTAGCTGCTCTTTCGAAGGGGTGGGGCGAGGGCCCCTGGGGGCAGTGTGAGTGGGGGAGGGCCAAGGGAAGTGGGTTTTCTCCTGGAAGAGGTGGGGAAAATGCAGGTGGGGGAGAGGTGGGCAGGGGGAATGAAAGGTGGAAGCAGATTGCTGAGGGAAGCACCTCCAGCTCCTGTGAGGTCATAGGCGAGGCAGCCTAGGGGTGCCCTGGGGGGGGCGGGAGGGTGGGAAGGTTGAGCAGATGGGAGGAGGCTGGGGCTTGGGGGGTTGCTTGTAGGGAGCCAGTGAAGGGCCAACACGGGGAGCCCCATACCATACAGTGCCCAGCAGAGGGGAAGTAGGTGTGAGCAGGGCCCCAGGCAGCCGTAGGGGCTGGAGGGTGGCTCAGCGGTGACCTCCTCCGTCCAGCGGTGACTGAGGCCCTGCGGGCTCCAGGCAAGATTCCCGGCTGCAGCGGTACCCGAAACCTGCACGACAACCTGTCAGACCTCCGTGCCCAGGTGGCAGCCAACCAGAAGGGCATCCAGCTGGTGGGAGAACTCATTGGGCAGTATGGCCTGGATGTGGTGCAGGCCTACATGGGCCACATTCAGGTGGGCCGAGGGGTCAGGAGCAGGTGGGCAGCTCTGTGCCGCCCCAGGAGGCTGGGCCGGGAGGCGGGGAGGCGCGGGACCCCTGGAGACGGCCAGGCTGCAGCTGACCCTCCCGACCGCCAGGCTAACGCGGAGCTGGCTGTGCGGGACATGTTGCGGGCCTTTGGAAGCTCCCGGCAGGCCCGAGGCCAGCCCCTGGAGGTGTCGGCGGAGGACCACATGGACGATGGTTCCCCCATCCGGCTCCGCGTGCAGATCAACCTGAGCCAGGTCAGGCGGCGGGAGCGGGGCTCAGGGCATGGGGGCGCAGTGGCCTGGGGGCTGCTGACCTCTCCCCCCATCCCCTCCGCTCCCCTCCCGTGGGCAGGGCAGCGCAGTATTTGACTTCAGCGGCACCGGGCCCGAGGTGTTTGGCAACCTCAACGCCCCGCGGGCCATCACGCTGTCCGCCCTCATCTACTGCCTGCGCTGTCTGGTGGGCCGCGACATCCCGCTCAACCAGGTGCGCGGGAGCATGTGGTCCCCGCGGTGGGGAAGGGCGGCGACGGCGGCCCGACGGCGCTGGGATCCCGGTGCTGGCCTGGGCCACGGCCCTCCCCACCCGCCCTGACAGCCGGCCCCGCCCCCGCAGGGCTGCCTGGCGCCGGTGCGCGTGGTGATCCCTAGAGGCTCCATCCTGGACCCGACCCCCGAAGCGGCCGTGGTGGGCGGCAATGTGCTCACGTCGCAGCGCGTGGTGGACGTCATCCTGGGGGCCTTTGGGGCCTGTGCCGCGTCCCAGGTGCGGGGACAGGTGCGCTGGGGCGTGTTGCCGGGGAGGGGCTGCCCGCAGCCCAGCGCGAAGCTCCCTTGTCCCCCCAGGGCTGCATGAACAATGTGACCCTGGGCAATGCCCACATGGGCTACTATGAGACGGTGGCGGGCGGCGCAGGCGCGGGCCCCGGTTGGCACGGGCGCAGCGGCGTGCACAGCCACATGACCAACACGCGCATCACCGACCCGGAGATCCTGGAGAGCAGGTGAGGGCGCGGCCGGCGGGGGCGGGGCCGGGGGCGGGGCCGGGCGAGCCGCGCTCAGCCCCCCGCCCGCGCAGGTACCCGGTCATCGTGCGCCGCTTCGAGCTGAGGCTGGGGTCCGGGGGCCGCGGCCGCTTCCGGGGCGGCGATGGCGTCGTCCGTGAGCTGCTGTTCCGCGAAGAGGCGCTGCTGTCCGTGCTGACCGAGCGCCGAGCCTTCCAGCCCTATGGCCTCCACGGTGAGCGGCCCTGCCCCCCCCCCGTCTGCCCCCTCCGGCCGCCGGCCCCGTCTCCCCACCAGCTCCTGCGTCCCTCCCTCCCTGGCCTCTTCCCGCAGGGGGCGAGCCCGGGGCGCGGGGCCTAAACCTGCTGATCCGCAAGGACGGCCGCACGGTGAATCTGGGGGGAAAGACGTCGGTGCCCGTGTTCCCCGGGGTAAGGATTGCGCCCCATCCTTTCTCCATCCCGCCCGCAGCCCATGGGCCCCCCCATTCCACAGGTAGTGAGCGCAGTTGCAAAGAACCAGAGACACTTTAATTTGGTTTCTGAAGGGGAGGGCGCGCAGGGGCATCGGTGGGCCAGACCTGCCGCTGCGCATGCGCCACCCGGAGGGTGGGGGGACTGCAGGGGAGGGAGGGAGGGGGATGCCCAGGCCCAGCTGCCCCTCTGTTTCGCAGGACGTGTTCTGCCTCCACACCCCCGGCGGGGGGGGCTACGGGGACCCGGAGGACCCCGCGCCGCCATCGGGGTCGCCGCAGCACATCCCCGCCTTCCCTAAGCGGGGCAGCGTCTACGAGTACCGCAGGGCCCAGGAGGCGGTGTGAGGGCGGCCCCACAATAAAGATCTCCCGGCTCCGTGGCCCCGCGGCAGCCGGCCAGGCTCGGCTGTGCATCCGTGTCTATGTGTCCACTCGGCCTCACCACCATCGCCTGCGTGCATGTGTCAGGGGAGCGTGGACACTCGGAGCTGAAGTCCCACGGCCAAGTGGTCTGTGAGCCCGGCCAGGGCGGTGCTGAAGGTCACCTGCTCCACGTCCTGGGGCAGGAGGCAGTCAGGGGTTGTCCCAGCGCCAGCCAGCCCAGCGCCCTGAACCCCGGACTTACTGGGCTCAGCGGGGCTCCGGCCACTCCCCGGTACAGGACGTAGTCGAGGCGCCGGCCCCGCCAGGGCTTAGGCCGGGGGCCTCCGCGGGCAGGGCCGGCCAGGTAGCGGTGGCGCCCCTTCTCCTGTTCCAGGGCCCTGAGGACGAGCGGTGTCATCAAAGCCAGGGCTCCCCTCCGAGGCAGGGCTCTGGGCGTTGGCTGACCCCCAGGTGGCCACTCACCTCCGCAGCATCTCTGGGGAGCAGACCACCGAGTGGTGGAGAGTGGAGGTGTTCAGGATCGTGCCTGGGGAGGGGGCGGTGTCAGCACGGGAGCCGCGGCCCCAGAGCCCTCCCCAGGTCCCCTCCCCAGGACCCCTCCCCGGCGGCCGCCCTACCCAGGGCCCAGGGCTGCTCCCGGCGAGTGCCCAGCCGGCAGGGGTCCTGGAAGCGGTCGAAGAGCTGGTGCTCCTGCTCCTGCGCGTGGTCTGCGGAGGGAGGCCGAGGCTCGGTGGGCGGGACCCGGCGCCGGCCCTGCCCCCGCCCCGCCCTCCCGCCCCGCCGCCCCCCCCCCTCACCTAAAGAACAGTTGTCGAAGTTCAGGTCACCCAGAAGCACGCTGAAGGCCACGGCCTCGCCGCTCTGGCGGCTCTCGGCTTCGAAGCGCTCGATCCAGTCCAGCAGAAGGGTCAACTGCTTGCAGCGCAAGGGCCCGTCCTCTGCGGGGGGAGGGGGGCACTGCTGAGCCCAGCTGCGCGCCCCACCCCCGCCCCGCCCCGCCCGCGGTGCTCCGGGCGGCGAACAAACAGTGCCGGCGGCGGAGACGCAGACGAGGCTAGGGACCCGCCGCCAGGACGAATCCGCGAGGCTCACCACTCGGCGCATGCAAGTGCGTGCAGTGCAGGAAGCCCACGACGCGGCGCCCGTCCAGGATGCCCACCTGCGCCTGCAACACCGTGGACGGCCCCAGCAACCCTCGCGGCTTCCACCCCACGCCCTGCCTTCTCCCCGGCCCGGGAGCGCCGCGGCCGCCGGGCCTGTACCTGTGCGGAGAGCAGACCCTTGGAGGCCAGCGCGTCCTCGCGACGTGCGTGGGGGAAAGACCGGAAGGCGGCGCGCAGCAGCGGGTAGCGCGAGGCCAGCAGCAGCCCGCTGCCGAGCAGCTTGAGGTGCGGCCCGCGCTGAAGGCCGAGGGAGCCCACGTCGTACAGCACCGGGCCCAGGCTGGGCGCCAGGCGGCTGACCAGGCGGTGCGCCGCGCGCGGGTCAAACACCTCCTGCAAACACACGAAGTCCAGGCCCGGCGGCAGAGCAGCTGTCAGCGCCCCAGCGGGCGCCCCCGGCCCGGGCGGACCGCAGCCCGTGGTCCCGTAGCGCGAGGGCCGCAGGGCGGCGACCAGCAGGGCGCCCACCTCCTCGGCCCGCCGCTGGCTGCGGCTCAGGTTGCTGAAGCGCGCTAGCCCGTCGGGCAGCAGGCACACGTTGGCGCTGAGGAAGCCAAAGCGGCGCGCGGGCTGGGCCGGGGGGCGCCAGGGGGCGGGTGGCGCCCAGCACGGCGGAGGGGGCGCGTAGCAGAAGGGGCGGCGCCAGGCCTGCAGGAGCAGCCACAGCGGCAGCGCGGGCAGCACCAGGGGGAGGCCGGCCAGGAGCAGCAGCAGCAGCGCCGCCGCCGCGCCCGCCGCCGCCCTCAGCCCCGCCAGGCCGTTCGGACGCGCCCCGGGCGCGCAGCAGCCCAGCAGCCGGTCCAGGGCCCAGTAGGCCGGGAAGAGCAGGGCTCGGACCAGGCGGTGGAGGGCGTGCAGCGCGGGGTGCGGGAAGGCGGAGGGCCGCAGGGCGGCGGGCGGCGGGGGCCAGGCGGGCGCCGACTGCATGGCGCGCGGGGCTTCCTGGCCTCGGGCGGCCCCGCCACTCGACCCAGCGCGCGAGGCGATTTGTCGGCGCCCGCGGGAGCCTCAGGGAGTCTCGGGCGAGGCCTGTGCGCGGCGCGGGGAAGGTGCGGCGCCCGTGGGGGCGCGGGCGAAACCGGCGCCCTGGAGCCGCGCTCCCCTCTCCCGCGCGGACTCGCCGTTGCACGGAACAAAAGGGAAAGCGAAAGAGCCCCTGGCGTCGCGGCCCCGCCTCGGATCCTCCTCGCCCCGCCCCGCCCTCCGCTGAGGGCCGCGGGAGCCCCCAGGCCTGCGCGCCGGGAGCGGGGCCCGGGTGCAGCTGGCACCCCTGGGAGAAGCAGCCCTTGCGGCGCCGGCGGAGCGAGTGCGGGGCGCGCTGGCCCGGCTCCGTCCTCCGCCCCGCGGTTAGCGCGGAATTGCCGCCCCCGCGGTCGTGCGGCCCCGGTCGCCCCCCACCCCACCCCCCGGGTTGCGACGTCCAGCAACTGAGCTCAAAGCCACAGGTGCTAGCCAGCCCCGGGGCGCCCCGCAGAGCTTCCCCGAGGCCCCCGCGGTGCCGGCGCCGGGACCCTCCCCCAGGGAGCTCCCCCAACGGGGTGAGGGGCCGTTGGTTCGGCCTGAGCCGCCGCCCCGCCCCCGGGCACGCGAGCCGCACGCAAACCAGCTCCCCACCGGGGCCCACCCGCACCGGCTCGGTCGGCTCCCAGGGCTGCGCTGCCTCGCGCTGTCGGGGCTGCCGCGGGGCCCCCACCTGTCGGACCTGAGCTGTGGGCCAGACCCCACCGCGCTCCAGGTTGGCTCTTCCGTTGCCCTGTGGCTTGAGTCGGGGCTGCCCTTCACCGCGCGGGCTGGGCGGTGGAGGGCCTTCTGGCCCCGCCTCCCCTCCCGGTTCTCCGGAATCCCGACCCCCTTCAGCACCAAGGTCTGGTGCTGGAGGGTGGCCCCTTCCTGGTGATGCTGGGCCTCCCCGCAGGCAGAGCGACACTTCTATCTACGGATGTCTACCTATCTGTACGCAGAGTCCTCCCTGCCTTCCCCAGGGGGTCTGGCTGGATCCCCGAAGCAGCAGGCCCGGGAGTGGGGAGGGCCAGGAGGCAGGGAGCGCCTGGGAGAGGGCTCTAGCGCACCCAGGATCCCCGGATCCTCTCCTTCCCTGCATTCCTTGCTGGTGGCGGCTAAGATTCCTCTGCCTGCCGGAGTCTTCTGGAAGGCAAGCCCTGGTGCTCAGGGGCCTGCTCTGCTGGGGTCCTCATTCCCCCTTCTCGGCCACCTCTGCCTCCCACTGCAGCTCCAGCCTCTCTGGCCTCCTCAGACAGGTCCTGTCCTGTCCCCCCACCCCTGTGGCCCCAGGCCACCCATGGGCTCCCCCAACTCACAGCCTCCCAAGGACGAGCATCCTGCCTGCACTGCTTGGTTTCCTGTACTGTCCACAGGCCCTTGCCCTCCTGGTGTCCCGACTGACCCCCACCCCCACCCCACCTCCATCCTCCCCGCCCTTCCTGCCCTCCCCCCTCCCCTCTTCCCAGCCCAGTACAGAGGGGATTCCCACATCCACATCCCGTGCCTCCCGCTTCTGCCTTCCGCTCTGCACCCAGGCTTCAGCTCCCACCTGGCACTGATGCTGCGCCGCCGCAGCCCTTCCTGCCGGTTGGGCTCCTGCGGCCTCCTGCTCTTCCCCGTCCCAGTGTCAGGGGCCCCTCCTACTCCCACTGCCAGGTGAGGGAAGCCATGGGACCTTTGAACACTGCCAAGCTTCGGTCTTGGGGTTCTCACGAAGGGCCCTGGGCTGGGCATGGAGCCCTAGAGCAGGCAGGATTGAAGGGGTGCGGGGGGGTGAGGTGCTGGCCAGCCACCCCAGGACAGGCGGCACCACCCAGGAGTTCAGGTCTGGGCCCGGCCCGCGGCTAGCGTCTGTGGAAGCTTTAATGGCCTTGCACTGGGATGCGGGGCAGGGTGGCAGGAGCCAGTGTCACCAGATGAACATGGGCTTGCCATCATCACGTGCCAACTGGCTGAGGCAGGAGAGCAACAGCAGCGCGTCGGTGAGCATGCTGGGGTGCACGGTCTCCACCAGCACGCGCTGCAGGAAGTCCATGCTGTAGGAGCCGCCCTCGGACGCAGCCAGCTCCGGCCTCTCGCGCAGGATGCCGTAGGCGTTCACCAGCTGCTCGGTCAGCGCCGGGTGCACCCGCCCTTTGTAGCCCAGGCTTTGTAGCCGGTTCATGATGGTTACATAGCGCTGTGTGAGCGTCTGGCACAGCTCCTCATCCAGCTTGTGGTCGCTGGGGTTCAGGGAGGCCTGAGGGGAGAGCGGCCATCAGGGTCCCTCCACCCTGCACTGGTACAAAGGCAGGAGAGGGGCGACTGTGTCTGTGGGGGTGCTGGGTTTCCTGGAGGTCCCGGGGTGTGCTAGAGGTATCCCGGAGGTCCTGGGGGAGAGGCTCCAACCTAGTGGGTTGAGCTGCAGGGGAGGGTTCTCCACCAGCGGGCATTTGGGACTGAGCTGAGGTCATGAAATGCTGACAGCATGGCTGGGAAGGAAGGAGGACGGGGGTCCCTAATGACCGTGGGGGGCCGGCCATACCACTCAGGGGCTTTCCCAGGCCTCCTGCTACTCCCTGCCCTGAGGCCTCCACCTCCTTTCCAGGCCCCTTCTCTGTTCCAAGCACCCTTGGTCTCAGCGCTGGGGGTCCCACCACCCCTCTGGTGACCCCTCCTGGTACCTGGACCTGGGGACTGGCAGCGACTGGTGGGTCCCCACCCAATTCTTCCTTGCCTGGGCCCCCCAACCAGGCAGTGACTGCATCCCAACATCTCAGGAGGAAGCAGGAAGCCAGCCCCTCCTCTCGGCTCCTGCCATCACCCCCTGGGCATGTGACCTGCACACGCATTCAGGGCCCCCTGTTCAGAAGGGCCCACACTCTGCTTCATGCTCTGCTGTAGTCACCCTGAAGTTCTTTATAAATTTTGAACAAAGAGCCCTGTATTTTCATTTGCACCGAGTCCTACCAATGACGCAGCTGTCCCCAGGCCCACCGAGTGACAGGTCTGCAGTAGCTGGACAGGGTCTCGCCCTGACTGATCTCCCCCTGCACTTCCCACTGCTGCACCTCCTGGGGTTAGGGCCTATCTGGCCCCGTGCACCCCCCTCCAGCCATCCCCTGGATGCCTACCAGGCTGCTTCCTAAGCCCTCAAAACAACGTGCTTGGCCTCACCTTCTCCAGGAAAATCCCCTGTCCTCTCCTCCCCCGATGGTCATGTGAACAGAGCACTGGACTCATGGCTGGGCTCAGCTAACATGACCCCTGACTTCTGGCAGATGCATCCAGAACCCTCTGCTCAGCACTCAGTGCACAGTCAGCACCAGGACAAGCCTGGCTTCCTGACTCTAGGCTCCTCTTGGCCCCTAAGCCTTCTCCCTCCATCCGCCGTTTCCTTCCCCACGTCAGGCGGCAGGGAGCTCAGCCAACTCTCTGGGTAAGCGGTGAACCTGCAGCTCTTCATGCCGAATGGCACAGAGCGCAGTGGGTGGACAGTGTTAAGCCTCGCCCCCCTGTGGGGATGTCAGGACCCATCATCTGCTCCCCTTGGGGAGCACACTCCTGCTGTGTGCCACACTAGGTGTATGGAGCCCCAGATAGGAGCACAAGTCCGGGGGGAGCGCACGGCACCCACCCTGCCAGGGTGCTGGACGGGAGAGGAGTGTGGGCATATTCACACTGAGACAGGCCAGGTCTGCCCCAAGGACATGACCCCTTGAGAGCGGAGGGCCAGGTGAGGGCAGTGAGTGGGGAGGAGCAGGACAAGGACCCCGCCGGAGCCAGGGATGCCTCCCGGCACCGAGAAGCTGGCAGGGCTGAGCAGAGCATGGCGGCGGGGGGGGGGGGGGGGCTGTCGTAAAGGGCCAGAGATTCCTGGTCTGTTGGCTTTGTGACTCTAAAGGATAGTGCCGGCCATATAAGGGGATGGGCAGAAGCTGGCAAGAGAGGGTGAAGGTCCTGTCTATCCATCGCACAGATTCTCAGTCCTGCCCTGTGTGGGGCGCTGAGCAAAGCCTGCTCTGTTTACAAGGATAACAAAGCCCAGGAGGAAGACAGTATGGGAGTGCGGCCGCGGGGAGCAACCAGCTGCCGGGGCGAAGGTCTCTGGAGGGGAGAGGATGCCTGGGCTGCCTCTGAAGGATGAGGACAACGGGAGCAAAGGAGCTTCCAGGACAGGGAACAGCATGCATGGCACAGAAGGTGCTGGGAGGCGGAGCGCAGAGCAGGGGGTCACATGGAGAGCAGGTTTCAATGGCTGTTTCAGTGACCATACTGGGTCTAAGCCTCAGTTTCCCTGCTATGAGAGGAAGGAAACCACCTGATGGCTATTTCGAAGATTAAAGGAGGTATCTCCAGGGGTGCTGAGCACAGCGTCAGTGTTGGTCTGCACCACCACGAGGGGACCCTAGTTCCCTAGGACACACCAATGGGCTCGCTCATTGGGCAGAATTGCGTTTCCCAGGAATGGAGGGAGGAGGGGCTTCCCAGGGTGTTGGAGCTGGCCCGGATGAGGCCACCGTGTGGTGACGGAACCCGCCACCCGGTGCCTCGCTCCCACCCTAAGCTCTCCTGCCCGCCCCCCCCCCCGCATGTATCAGCCCCGAAGCCCTGGCGTACATGGTCAGGGCTTTGCTTATCTACTGAAGGCCGCCGGGGAGTGGGGGAGCTCCCCGAGGGTGCGACTACTTGGCGTGAACTTGGCATGGAGTGGGTAGCTGCCTCCGACGCCTCCTAATCGGAGTGGGTAACTGCAGCGGGAAGGGTGGCGGCGGCCAGCAAGGTGGCAGCAGTTTGGTCCAGGGTAGGTGACGCAGGTGCAGATGTGTCCTCGGGGAACGTCTGCGGGCAGAGCACCTGGCGCTGGAGCACCGTGGAGGAGAGCGCGGCTGTGAGCAAAGGCGCGCGCACCTCCAGGAGGCGGGGCAGGTGCTCAGCGCGGGTCTCTCCGCCCCGGGACTCCCACCGCACAGGGCACGTGTCCGCGGGGGGGCTCCGCACGTGGCTCAGCACACGCCAGCGTCGGGACGGAGCCGGAGCGCGCCCCGCCCTGCCCCGCCCGGGTTAGGCTCCCGCGGCCCGCCCCCCGCTCCGCCCCCGAGGCCTGACGTCACCGAGATCGAGCCGATGGGACGGCACCGCGGCCGCAAGCTCCGCCCCTGCGCCCCGGGTGGGTCCTGGGGTCCCGCCAGGGGTGGGCCGGGTCCGAGCGCGCGGCCGAGGGACGGAGCGAGCCCCGGGCGCGTGGGTCCCGGCGCCTGGCGCGCGCTCCGGGGCTGGAGGATCGCAGGTGACCGCGCTCCGCATCGCGGGGCGTTGACGCCGCCAGGGCCGCTGTGGTTGAGGACCCGAACACCCTCTCCCGCGCCGCCGGGTGTTAGGGCAGAAGGCAGGCTGGGAAGCCTCATGTGATCTTTTCAATGATAGAAAAACATTGTTAAAAAAAATATTTCTTCATGGTTAAGAGACCCCAGAGCTCTCAAGAAATGAGGACGAGGAAAGACTTCGTACCCTGGCGTGGGCGACGCAGGAGCTGCCTCCTCCGGCTTTTGTTCGGCTGCACGGCTGCCTGGAGCTGGGAGCCTTTCCCGGACGCCCTGCGGCTTGGGCACCTGCACCCGGGCTTCTTTTTTTAATATATATATATTTTTAATTTATGATAGTCACAGAGAGAGAGAGAGGGGCAGAGACACAGGCAGAGGGAGAAGCAGGCTCCATGCACCGGGAACCCGATATGGGATTCGATCCCGTGTCTCCAGGATCGCGCCCTGGGCCAAAGGCAGGCGCCAAACCGCTGCGCCACCCAGGGATCCCCTGCACCCGGGCTTCTGCGCGGGTGGAGGCTCCTGCCTGGGGGCCGTGGTGCCCTGGGGGCAGGTTCCCCCGAGCCAGGGCGCAGGGGCTGTGAGCCTGGGTCTTCAGGGGTGGCTGCACCAGCTCTTGTACCCACCCTGGCATCCTCATTAACGTCTTCCTGTTTACATCAGCCAGTGTGGATTCTGTTATCTGCCACCAGGAGCTTGACTGAGGAAGATCTGGCCAACAGCCTGGGACACACGTTGCACTTAACAGGCACCCTTGACGTGTGTGTTCCTAGGCGAGTCTCAAACTGGATGGGGTTGCTGTGTTATCTATTTTAATATTCTTGTGTTTATTTTTTAAAGATTTTATTTATCCACTTGGGAGGCAGAGGGTGCGCATGAGGGGTAGGGGCAGAGGAAGAAGGAGACTCCCGGCTGAGCAGGAAGCCCCATCCATGCAAGACTCGAACCCAGGACCCTGAGATCATGACCTGAGCAGAAGGCAGACGCTTAGCTGACAGAGCCACCCAGGTGCCCCTGTTTGCGTCTCTTCAATAGTGTGCAATATGATTGTCTACATACAAAGGCCAAGATGACGTACAGGCTATTAGAACCAGAAAAAGAGTTTGGCATGGTAGCGGGAAACGAACCGTTATGCAAAAAACAAGACCATCCTTTGCAGGCCGGTGAGTGGGACCCCAGAGGCCCCAGGACCCAGCCAGACACAGCCGCAAGGTACCACCCCCGCGACCCTCACACGGGCGTGGCTGGACTCCGGGCCTGCTATGACTGGGAGCCGGAAGGAAAGCTAAGAGCACCTGGTCCCCCAGCAGGAGGCCTTTGCAACTGGGCAGAAGAGGTGACAGGTCTGGGCACTGGGACAACTTTTACTTGAGCTTAAAATATGGCACAGGAACGGTCTGTGAACTTTTAAAAAAAGATGGCCCAGATTCAGAGAAAACAGTCAACAAGCCCTTACTCAGCAATGCGGCTCTATTAAAGCTTTTCCTGTCACCCTTACGGCGTCCGCGAAGCAGACGAGCCAGGCTTGAGCAGGTTGGGGGCCGGGATGGACTTTAGGGATTCTAGCAATGACCGATGCTGGAGTTCCACATGCAGGGAAACAAGATGCTCTGAGGAAGGGAAATGAAAATCTGGGCAAAGTGGAACTGGATGCTGAGAGGAACCAACACGAGGGCCAGGCAAGCCGGCGGGTCAGCCGGTCCGGGGAGCAGGATGCAGCTTCACGGTCCTCAGGTGGAACCAGACGTCATCCATATGCAGTGGGCTCTGCAGAGGCCCGGCCAGGGGTGTTTGCCTGGCGTCAGGGGCAATTTCTGCGCAGCTGGGCTCCCCTGGGGAGGGGTCTGCTCCCCCACAGTTTGGGCGGCAAGGGTATGACCTGGCAGCACTGGTCGTTGCCGATGGAAGGTGCATGGGGCCAATAGCTCCGGAAGAGCTGCAGGTGGGCATGGGGCACAATGAGCGGATGAACGTTTGGTGGGAGCCCAGCCTCCCCGCCGCTAGCTGCCAGATGGTGGTCAAGGCGCTGGCCACTGGCCAGGGACTCCCGTGGCCGCCAGAGGAGAGGGCCTCACATCCTGCTCTCATCTCCCGCCTCTTCGCTACAAGCTGCCACTTAGAGTGATGACCGTTGTACGGCGGTGGCGTAGGAGTGACTCCCGCGAAGTGAGGAGCCGGGGTGGGGCTCGGCTTGCCCAGCCAGCTCCCGCGTCAGGGATGAGGTGTCTCTACCTCCTTCCATCCGGACGGCATCCTCAAGCAGTAGGAAGCCTCTTTCACAATTTCATATGTAGCTTCCATGAGGGCAGCTGGACTTGTGTTCATTACATGCATCTTGGCCAGTTGATATCAGACACAGCATCTTAGAGACACAAATACTGTGCTTCTGCTGTGTTTTCCGCCAGTTTTTAAACAGCCTGGGCCAATCTGCCCTCGGGACCCGGCAGTGGCGGCAGACGTCCCGGAGGCGCCTCAAGCCTCATGGGACTGACCGTGACCAGGTGGGCCCTGCTGACGTGAGCAGCAGAAACGGCAGGTGCGCGGGAACCCCCCCGCAAGGTGAAGGCGGCCCGGCCCCAGCCTAATCCGGAAAGCAGTACGGAACTACACATTCGACCTAGGTTTTTCCTGGAACTTGACAGACGGTCGAGGAGCAAAGAGGGGGGGAGCAGAGACAGCCTGGAAGAAGGGAGGTGCCCCAGCTCTGCCCCCCTTCCCATGGGGGACACCAGGGTCGGGGGTGTCAGAGTGGCGGTGGACCCCACCCTCGCTCGCGGGACTGGGAGGCGACTCAGCTGCCCTCCGCCCTCCACCGCTCTAGCTGCGAGGGAGACCTGAAGCGCACAAGCAGTAAAGGCAAAGTGGATAATTCTGACCACATTCAAATTAAAAACCTAACTGAAGGATACAAAGGAAAGGGCGGCCTCAAGCCTGGATACAAATATCGGCATCTGCAGATAAAGACGCCGGAGGGACAGAGAGAGGTGGGGGAGCACAGAGGACTATTGCCCAGAGGAGGCCAAGTGGCCGCCCGGAGCTGGCGCGTCCACGGGGCGTGGGGAGGGGCACACACGGAGGAGCACACACCGTCAGCTGCACCGCCCATATCTGGCGACTCAGCTCGGCGCGTGGGGCTGAGGTACAGTGCCCAGCACCCCTGCGAAGTCCTGTCCTCTGTGCTCCTCAGCGGCAGCCGGCTTGGTGAGCGGTCTGCTAAGAGTATGCTGAAACCAGCCTGGGCCTGAGGGCCCTGGCCATGAGGCCGCCCGCTGCTCAGAGGTCCTGGGACCTGCCTCCCCTGGGTCACCCCAGTGACCCTTGAGGGTCCCAATGGGTGGGGAAAGCATTAGCTCTGCTAGTCTGGGGGGCCCTGGGGCTGAGAGGTGGCCATGGGGAGGCGATCGCAGTGCAGGCCTGACCATGTTCAGCACCCCCCCCGCCCTGTCCTCTGGGGGGCCACACCCCTAGGACCACAGGCTCCTGATGCCAGGTGCCCTGAACTCCCCCTGCCCCTCGGACTGAACACCATGCTTCCTCCCTCCCAGGGTGTCCTCGGATTCTGACGTGCTTGGCCAGGCTGGGTCCCAGGGCCAGGGCCCCCCAGCAGCCTTGCACGGCCAGCGAGCTCCCCGTCCCTGACAGGCGGTGAATGGGAGAGGGCGCCACACACCTGGATGATCTTCTCTGGAATGTTGGAGACCGTGAAGCCGTAGAGGCGCACGCGCTCCGGGAAGATGCTGGACAGGATCCTGCGGTCCAGCTGGAAGGCGATCTCCCCCACCAGCCTCTCCCAGGCCAGCTGCTTTGACTCTGGGGACGACAGGGGGCGGAAGGAGTGCTCAGCGGCCACGGTCAGCGGCCCAGGCCAGTGCCAGGGAGGTCCGCGAGCACGTAGGAGACACCCCCTCTTGTGTTGAGCGCGTGTCACTGACCTCGGGGGCTCTCAGGGAACTTGCTGGTCTTGCGGTGAGCCAGCTTCCGTTCCAACTCCAGGATGCTTTTGCGAGAGGTTTCTGAGCCATGTGGGCCCCGGGTGTCGTTGATCGAAGCCGGGGAGGACGAGGTTCGGGGCGGGGAGTGGGGGTTTCGTGGAGGGGAGTGAGAGGTGGGTGAGGGCTGGGTGGGGGGGTGGTGTGCCCGGGTGGAGGACTGGGGGGGGTACGGGGTGATGTGGGTGGTGCTGGAGGGGGTGTAGTGGGTGACAGGAGGGGGGGCGGGAGTAGGGGCAGGGGCGAGGACTGCGTCCACCGGGGGGGCCGTTGTGGTGCTGGGGACAGGCACGGGGACTGCTTGTCCCTGAGTGGCACTGGGCTGGGGCCTGACGTCTGAGCTGCCATAGGAGAAGGTGGTCATGGGCCCAGGCGTGCTCCTGGTGGTGATAGGGGTGGAGGTACGGATGGGAGAACCCACAAACGTCATGCTGAGGGGATCCAGGTCCTGGGCTGGCCGGGGATGCTCCGTGGGCATGGGGACTGGAGACGCGGTGGGGGTGCAGGGAGGAGAAAAGGAGGGTGAGAGTGAGGCCGGCCTGCGGACTGCCCGGGGGCCGCACCGCCTTCCCCCCCCCCCCCCCCGCCCCTGCCGCTTACCCTGGGCGACGGGCCTGGCTCTGGCCAATGGCTGGGGCCCCGAGGGGCAGCCTTGCAGTGGCTCTGCCAGCGGCACCCTCGGGGCCTCGGGCAGCACCAGGTTGCTCAGGGGGGTGACCAGAAGGTTCTGAGAGACGCCGAGAGTTGCGGCCGTGGAGGTGAGCAGGGGGCTGCCCAGAGAGACAGCCACCGAGCCTGCCACCGGGCCCATGAGGGGGCTGCCCAGGGGCAGGGGGCCAGCGGAGGGCAGGCCCAGGGAGCTGGCCAGCGTGCCCCCTGGGGACACTGCCAAGGGGCCGGCCAGGTGGCCGCTCAGGAGCCCGGTGAGCGGGCTGCTCTGCGACACAGACCCCAGGCCGGGCAGCAGCGAGTTGAGGGGGCCCGTCAGGGGGCTCACGATGGGGGTGGCCGCAGGGGTGGGCTGTGGGCTGCTTAGCACGTCGGCCAGGGGCGCCAGGGTCAGAATCCCCAGTTCTTCCAGGACGGGTTCGTTTGCTGCTGCCGGGGCCTGGGGCAGGAAGACACCTGGGGGACACAGAGAGAGCGCTGAGACCCCAGGCAGGCCCGAGGGGAGGGGCTGTCGCCTGCAGAGGCAGGGCCCAGGCCACGGTGCCCCTTTGTTTGCCTCTTACGAGCTGACCAACTGTGAGCTGCCTCCGTTGGGTGGGCCAGACCATGACCCCGTACCTCCGAGGGGGGCCTGGGGGCAGTCGGCAGATCCCCCAGGAGGGCCTGGCCCTTCGTCTCTCTGTCTTTAGAGGGAGCCGTCATAGGGCCCTTCCACAGCCCCCCACCCCTCCTACCATCCCATGAACAGAGATGCTGACCTCTCGCTGGGGAGGGTCTCCAGGGGGCTGGTCCCCCGGTTGCCAAGTTGACCCACATGTTCCCTGGTGGGGAGGAGTGGGCCCAGGCCCCCTGACCACTGTCCCTGTGGGGACAGCCTAGCCTCACCAGGTGGAGGACCCACAGGGCGGCCAGAGTGAGAATAAGCACACGGGCTCAGTGGCACCAGTGGTGGCTTTTCCCTGCCCAGTGTCTCTGAGGACAGTAAATGCAGGTTCAAGAGGGTGGGTCTGGCCTAGACTTGCTGCTCTACACTCCTGGATCCCCGTGTGGGGGCCCAAGAGCCCTAGGGTTGTCCTGGGGTGTCTGAGAGTGCCCTTGATGACCAAGGTTTGGGAAGGTTTGGGGGAGTGTGCATTTTAATTGAAAACTGCCACATTTGTTGTTGTCATAAAAGCCATATGTGCTCACTGTGGAGAAAGAACAGAGCTACAGAGAAGTCAAAATAAGATTGGAAATTACTGGGGGCAACTGGGGGCTCAGTGGTTGAGCATCTGCCTCCCACTCAGGTCGTGACCCCGGGGTCCTGGGGTTGAGCCCCCGTCAGGTTCCCCACAGGGAGCCTGCTTCTCCCTCTGCCTCTGCCTCTGTCTCTCTCTGTGTCTCATGAATAAATAAATAAAATATTTAAAAAAAACCACACACACATTACAAACTACTGGCTGTCCTGTCACTCCACTGCTGGTCATAACACGAAGCTCCGTGTTGCCTCAAGGACCTTCTCCCCGTGTTTTGTAGCTCAGGGGCTGATGCGCCTTGTCTAGGAAGGGCTGCTGGTAAATATTGCCAGTTTTGCAGCCCATCTGCTCTCTGTTGCAGCAACACAACCCAGCTGCCCTGCTGCCAAGGCCGCCACAGACCAGCACATGGAAACAAATGTGGATCTGTAGCAACAAAACGTTATTCAGAGACACTAATATTTGAATCTCGTGTACTTTTTGTACATCCAGAAATAGAGTTCTTTTGATTTTCTCCCGTTTAAAAATGTAAAATCCGTTCTTAGCTGCAGGGCCACGTACCAATAGGTGGCAGGCAGCCTTCTGTGAGATCCTTGCCCTTGCGTCCTTCCTGTCTTCACGGGTCGGCCTCCAGCAGCACCCTCCTCAGCCAGCAGCCCTGGGGGCGAACCTGCGCCGTCCGTGGAGCCCCTTCCAGTCCTGGGCCATGCACATTGATTCCAGTTTTCCCAGCGGCAAATAATTCTACTACACAAATCTTTTTTAATTTTTTTTTTTTTTTTTTTATGATAGTCACACACACACACAGAGAGGCAGAGACACAGGCAGAGGGAGAAGCAGGCTCCATGCACCGGAAGCCCGACGTGGGATTCGATCCCGGATCTCCAGGATCGCGCCCTGGGCCAAAGGCAGGCGCCAAACCGCTGCGCCACCCAGGGATCCCTACACAAATCTTTTTTAATTAGGTTTTTAACTTCCATTCCGGTGTAGTTCACGCACGCCATGCGGTGTACAGGGTGGTGATCCAACATTTACATAAGACACGCGGTGCTCATTCGGACAGGCGCAGCCCCGAGCCCCATCACCTGTTTCCCACCCCACCTCCTCCCCTCTAGGGACCTTCAGGGTGTTCTCTAGCCCTAAGAGTGTTTCCTGCTTTGCCTCTTTCTTTCTTTTTTCCATTTGCTTGTTTCTTAAATTCCACCGATGAGTGAAATCATGTGATAATTGTCTCTCTGGTGGACTTCTTTCACTCAGCATCATACCCTCTAGTTCCATCCATGTCGTTGCAAATGGCAAGATTTCATTCTTTTTGATGCCTGAGTAATATTCCATTGTGTATGTGTGTGTGTGTATATGCTGCTTCTTCGTTATCCACCCGTAAGTCCACCGACACTTGGGCTACGTCCACAGTGTGGCTCTTGTTGATGACGCTGCTGTAAACAGTGTGCACGTGTCCCTTGGAATCACTTTGTCTGTGTCCTGTGGATAAGTACCCAGTAGGGCTGTTTCTGGGCCATAGGGTAGCTCTACATTCAGCCCCTTGAGGACCCTCCTCACTGCTCTCCAGAGCGGCTGCCCAGCCTGCATTCCCACCAGCAGGTCAGGGGGCCCCCCTTTCTCCTCATCCTCACCAACCCCTGCCATCTCCTGACTTGCTGATTTTGGCCATCCTGGCCAGTGTGAGGTGGGATCTCGTTGTGGTTCTGATTTGTTTTTCCCTGAAGATGAGTGATGTTGACCATGATACCTACGTAAATCTTTATTATTGGTTCTTTACCCTGAAAACAGACGTTCCAGCGCTCCTTAGTGCACACTGCTAAAGCTACCCTCTTGCAGAGCCCTCAGAAGCGTTCTTGCATTCCCTCGGAAGTCCCTGGGCTTGTTGCTGAAATCTGTGCCCCTGGGACCCTGCGCGATGTGTGCCAAGATGTCCTGCCACTTTACTTTTATTTTTTAAGATTTTATTTATATATTCGAGAGAGAGAAAGAGAGCACGTGGGGGAGGCAAAGGGGTAGAGGGAGAAGCAGGCTCCCCACTAGCGGGGGAGGGGGGGACATGCCCGGTCGGATCCCAGGACCCGGGGTCTTGACCTGAGCTGAAGGCAGACGCCTCAGGCGTCCCCACCACCACTTTACTTTTCTTTTACTTTTGTTATTTGTGTTTTCTGAACGAATACATTAAAATACATAAATCAAATCAGCCGTTCTGTTCTTTTCTGATTTCTTTTTTTGGCTTTTTGGAAATATTTGCTTTAGGATCAAGGAGACAATAAAACTTTGGGGCCAAAGGGAAGTAGCCTGCAGGGAGAGAGAACCTGGAGGGGGGAACCGGGCTGGGGGAGACAGCTGGCGGGGCTGGGAAGACCTCCTAGAGCCGCGGGGTGAAGGGGGTCCGGGGGTGGGAGCTGGGGCCTGTGTCCTTCTCACGTGGTCTCCTCTGAGGCTCTGGATGCTGTGGGGAAGGAGCACTTGGGTAAGGAGCCGGCTGGGGCTCAGCCGGGTGCCCCCAGCCTCCCTGGGTGATCCCTGTCCCCCCGGCTCTCCCCCACTTCCCTCGAGGTCGCGTCTGGGCGTCCCCGCACTCCCTGGCTCCATCTGTCCCTTCCTCCTGAGGCCTGTCCGGCCAGGCTTCTCCGTCCTTCTGCCCGGCAGTGCCCCCCCACCCCGCCCCCGTTGCTGCCGCGGGCCTCAGGCCTGCCCTGGCTCGTGGGCTGGCATCCCCACGCAGGGCGTTCCCCCGAAGGCCTGCCTTGGCGGGCATCCAGACCCTGGGCTCGGGGTGCTCCCCCCCCCCAGCGGGCTGCTGCGGCTCGGGCCTGGAGAGCTCCAGGCCCTGTCCGTCCTGCGGCTGGCCGCCGGCGCCCGCCCCGAATGGCCTGGCCTCTTCCCAGCTCCGCTGAGGGCTCCAGCCTCGGCTCCCGGCCCCGGGCGTCTCGGGTCCCCGGCGCTGCCGTCATCCCGACTCTCTGCCACGCTCACCCCGGCCCTCTGCCCACTGGCCACTCCGGCAGCCGCCCCAGCGGGTACCCCAGCAGCGCCCCACCTGGTCCCCACCGGCGTCTCCTGCCTGCATCTCAGGGGACCCTCCTGGCTGCTCTGACGCCAGCTTTCCCCCCCAAGCTCCCGCCAGACCGTGCCCGTCGAAACGGCCGCTTGCCCACCACCGTCAGGGCTGGATCACCAAGGCCCGTGCCTGGCCTGTCCCCCCTCAGGCCTGGCTTCCCACCTCCCCCGCTCCCTCTGCCCCAGCCCCCGGGGCCATCTGCCTGTTCCGAGAGTGCTCCGGGCACAGTCTGGCCTCGCGTGGGCTGGTCCCGCCGCCGGCCACTCTGCCAGTGCGCGCGCTGCCTGGCCCCTTCCCGGGCGCCTTCCTCCTCAGCGCTGATCTTCAACATGCTCTGCTCTGACTTGTCCATTTGACCTGTGTCCCTCCACTGGAGCGGACGCTCCACGAGGGCGGGGGGGCCTGGTGCCACGTTTCCCAGGGCCGAGAACAGGGCTTGGGCCACAGCGAGTGTTCAGTAAGTAAGAAGAAACGATGGCAACGGAAGCAAAGATGAAACTTGATGATTAAAAGAAAATTGGTCAGGATAAGACTTGAAGTCTATGTGTGCCTTTAACCACGGAGAGTTAGGGCAGCCCCTGCATTGGGCTCCCTGCAGGGAGCCTGCTTCTCCCTCTGCCTGTGTCTCTGCCTCTCTCTCTCCCTCTGTGTGTGTGTGTCTCTAATGAATAAATAAAATCTTTAAAAAAAAAAAAAAACACAGAGAATTTGAAGTGACCACAGAAGGAAGTGTCCATAAAGTGACCGCTTAAACTGTGACCACTGAGATAGCCGTGTCAGATGTGAAATTCTTTTTTTTTTTTTTTAAGATTTTATCTATCTATTCATGAGACACACAGACAGAGAGGGAGAGGCAGAGACACAGGCAGAGGGAGAAGCAGGCTCCATGCAGGGAGCCCAACTTGGGACTTGATCCCGGGACCCCAGGATCACGCCCTGGGCGAAGGCGGTGCCAAACCGCTGAGATCCCCGGGCTGCCCAAGATGTGAAATTCAATGAGCATGTTACTGTCTGAACAAGTTGTTGGTCTTCAGAACACAGAGAATGCAAGATTCATCAGGATCTGGGGCGCCTGGGGGCTCAGTTGGCTAAGTGTTTGACTCCCGGTTCTGATCTCAGGGTCAGGAGATCGAGCCCCGCATCAGGCTCTACAC